TCGTTGTCATCGTCAGTGTTGGCATCGGGCACGGGCGGCAGCGGAGTTCCCATCCCGACCTTCAGCGTTGTCATTGTGGTCCTCAGCCTTCCTCATCGTCATCCTCAAAGAGTCCTTGACCTTCAACACGTTCCTCAACCTTCACCATCGTCATCCTCAAAAAGTCCCCGACTTTCAGCGTTGTCATTGTGGTCCTCAACCTTCCTCATCGTCATCCTCAAAGAGTCCCCTGTCCTCATGGTCCTCAACCTTCATCATCGTCATCTTCAAAGAGTTCCCGGCCTTTGACACGTTCCTCAACCTTCTTCGTCATCCTCAAAGAGTCCCCGGCCTTCAGCGTGGTCCTTGTGGTCTTCAACCTTCATCATCCTGGAAGAGTCCTTGATCTCCAGCGTTGTCTTCAACCTTCATCATCGTCGTCTTCAAAGAGTTCCCGATCTTCAGTATTGTCCTCAGCCTTCATCATCGTCATCCTCAAAAAGTCCCCGACCTTCAGCGTTGTCCTCAGCCTTCATCGTTGTCATCATGGAAGAGTTTCTGATCTTCAGCGTGGTCCTTGTGGTCCACAACCTTCATCATCGTCCACCTCAGAGTTCCTGATCTTCAGCGTTGTCTTCAACCTTCATCATGGTCATCATGGAAGAGTTTCCGATCTTCAGCGTGGTCCTCGTGGTCCACAACCTTCATCATTGTCCACCTCAAAGAGTCCCTGATCTCCAGCGTTGTCCTCAACCTTCATCATGGTCATCATGGAAGAGTTTCTGATCTTCAGCGTGGTCCTTGTGGTCCTCAACCTTCATCTTCATCATCCTGGAAGAGTCCTTGATCTTCAGCGTTGTCCTCAGCCTTCATCATGGTCATCATGGAAGAGTTTCTGATCTTCAGCGTGGTCCTTGTGGTCCACAACCTTCATCATTGTCCACCTCAGAGTTCCTGATCTTCAGCATTGTCTTCAACCTTCATCATCGTCATCATGGAAGAGTCTCTGATCTTCAGCGTGGTCCTCGTGGTCCTCAGCCTTGATTGTCTTTGAAGAATTTCCAACCTTCATCGTTGTTCTTGAGGAGTCACCATCATCATCATCATCGTGGGGTGGCCTTTGTGGTCCTTGAAGAGTCTCCAGTCTTGGTCATGGTCAGAGCTGCCAACGTCGTCATCTTCATCATCAAAGGGTTCCTGATCATCATCATCATCAAAGAGCTCCTGATCTTCATCATCAAAGAGTTCCTGATCTTCATCATCATCAGAGCTCCTGATCTTCATCATCAAAGGGTTCCTGATCTTCATCATCGTCAAAGAGGTCCCGATCTTCATCATCAAAGAGTTCCTGATCTTCATCATCGTCAAAGAGGTCTCGATCTTCATCATCAAAGAGCTCCTGATCTTCATCATCGTCAAAGAGGTCTCGATCTTCATCATCAAAGGGTTCCTGATCTTCATCATCAAAGGGTTCCTGATCTTCATCATCATCAGAGGTCCCGATCTTCATCGTCATTGAAGGATTCCAAATCTTCATCATTGAAGGGTCTCCAACCATCATTATCCTCAAAGAGTTCCTGATCTTCTTCATCATCATCACCAGAAAGGGTCTCCCAACCTTCATCATCATCGAAGAGCTCCCAGCCTTCGTCATCGTTGAAGGGTCTCCAACCTTCATCATCCTCGGAGAGTCCCCAGAGTTCATCATTGTCCTCTGAAGGTTTCCGGCCTTCATCCTCATCCTCCTCCTCCTCCTCCTCCAGGAGCTCCTGGCCTTCGTCGCAGTCATTGGGGTCTCTGATCTTTGTCATCCTCAGCCCTTGGTGTCCATCCAGTTGGCTGTGACCTTCATCATCATCATCATCATCCTCATGGTGGAGGAGGCTTCGAGAGGTTCTGACCTTCGGTCTCGCTGTGGGAGAGTTGCTGACCTTCATCATCCTCATCATGGAGGAGCTCTTGGACCTTCATCGTCCTCACCATGGAAGAACCTTTGGACCTTCATCATCCTCACCATGGAAGAACCCTTGGACCTTCATCATGGAGGAGCTCTTGGACCTTCATCATCCTCATCATGGAGGAGCTCTTGGACCTTCATCCTCACCATGGAAGAAGAACCCATGGACCTTCACCATGGAAGATCTCTTGGACCTTCATCATCCTCACCATGGAAGAAGAACCCTTGGACCTTCACCATGGAAGATCTCCTGGACCTTCATCATGGAAGAACTCTTCGACCTTTGTCATCTTCACTATGGAAGAACCTCTGGACCTTCATCATCCTCATCATGGAGGAGCTCTTGGATCTTCATCATCCTCATCATGGAAGAACCTCTGGACCTTCATCATCCTCATCATGGAGGAGCTCTTGGACCTTCATCACCCTCACCATGGAAGAACCTCTGGACCTTCATCATCCTCATCATGGAGGAGCTCTTGGACCTTCATCACCCTCACCATGGAAGAAGAACCCTTGGACCTTCATCATCCTCATCATGGAAGATTTCTTGGACCTTCATCGTCCTCATTGGAAGAGCTCCTTTGACCTTCATCCTCACCATGGAAGGACCCTTGGACCTTCATCATCCTCACCATGGAAGGACCCTTGGACCTTCACCATGGAAGATCTCCTGGACCTTCATCATCCTCTCCATGGAAGAACCTTCATCGTCCTCACCATGGAAGATCTCCTGGACCTTCATCATGGAAGAACTTAGACCTTTGTCATCTTCACTATGGAAGAGTGCTTGGATCTTCATCATCCTCATCATGGAAGAACCTCTGAACCTTCATCATCCTCATCACGGAGGAGCTCTTGGATCTTCATCATCCTCATCATGGAAGAACCTCTGGACCTTCATCATCCTCATCATGGAAGAAGAACCCTTGGACCTTCATCATCCTCACCATGGTAGAAGAACCCTTGGACCTTCATCATCATCATCATGGAAGAACCTTCATCATCCTCACCATGGAAGATCTCCTGGACCTTCATCATCCTCACCATGGAAGATCTCCTGGACCTTCATCATCCTCACCATGGAAGAAGAACCCTTGGACCTTCATCATCCTCACCATGGAAGAACCTCTGGACCTTCATCATGGAAGATCTCCTGGACCTTCATCACCCTCACTGTGGAAGAACCTTCATCGTCCTCACCATGGACGATCTCTTGGACCTTCATCATGGAAGAAGAACCCATGGGCCTTCATCATCCTCACCATGGAAGAACCTCTGGACCTTCATCATGGAAGATCTCCTGGACCTTCATCATCCTCACCATGGAAGAAGAACCCTTGGACCTTCACCATGGAAGATCTCCTGGACCTTCATCGTCCTCACCGTGAAGAACCCTTGGACCTTCACCATCCTCTCCATGGAAGAACCTTCATCATCCTCACCATGGACGATCTCTTGGACCTTCATCATGAAAGAAGAACCTCTCGACCTTCACCATGGAAGATCTCCTGGACCTTCATCATCCTCACCATGGAAGAAGAACCCTTGGACCTTCATCATCCTCACCATGGAAGAACCTCTGGACCTTCATCATGGAGGAGCTCTTGGACCTTCATCATCCTCACTGTGGAAGAAGAACCCTTGGACCTTCATCATGGAGGAGCTCTTGGACCTTCATCGTCCTCATCATGGAAGAAGAGCCCTTGGACCTTCACCATGGAAGATCTCCTGGACCTTCATCATCCTCACCATGGTAGAAGAACCCTTGGACCTTCATCATCATCATCATCATGGAAGAACCCTTGGACCTTCATCACCCTCACCATGAAGAACATTTGGACCTTCATCCTCCTCCTCCTCCTCACCTCCGCCCCTCC